TTAAAAGCAGCTTTCTGATTAGAAGAGGGGCTGTGGGGTTCTTAGAAATAAAGATTAATTAGTTACTTAGGTCATATCCCCTGAGAAGTTGAATCTGAACGGGCCACTGACCTTCTGGCCTCTGGAAAGGAGGTCCATTGAATTTCGAAGCCCATGGGTACTCCTCCCATTTCCTGTGGAATTTGGATTGTGAGTAAAGGTTCAAAACACTGGTTCTTCATGTTGGATTTCCAAGGTGGAAAGAGAAGGCAGGAAGACCTATCAAAGGACAAAGATACTGTGTTCTCTGTTTTGATCTGAAAGATGGAATGGCAGGGGAGCCGGGGACAGAAAAAAGGGAGGTGGGTGTCTCTGTCCTAATTTCACTGGTTTTCTCATCCCCTATTAGTTGAAGTTAGCAAACAGGAAAGCATTCTCCTTAGGAAGAAAAATGGCAAGAAAACTGATGCCTGCCTGGCTTGGATTTTTAGTGTTGCCAAACACCCAAGTTTGTGACTTATCAATTGTGTACTGTGAACCTAGCCTGCTTTCCGTCAGCTCTTCTTGTCTTTGGTTCCATCTTTTCTTTGTTAAATTTCACTCTGTGAGGAAATATTGAATTCGAGGGAGATACAGTCCTTACTGAGCATGCTGCAGTAAATCCAGCTATTAAATCCCACATAAATCTCAGCAGAAGGTAGTATATTAGAAATGTCATTCTGTATGCTGAACATGTGTTCAGAATAACAGTGCCTGAAGGTATATTTGTATTATAGTTCAGCAAAGGAAGGCGACAGGAAGGAGACTCTTAGCTTAGGGCAAATAAACATCTGCTCAAAAAAAAAAAAAAAAAAAGAGGTACACCACATTTTACATAATAAATGCTGTTTTGAAAGTTTCTCTGGAATTAGTGTCCCATATTAAATCATGCTTTAAACTTTCTTATGAACTTCACCTTTTCAAAGAATTGTTGTATTAAATTTTTGAGAGAAAGTGGAATTTCTTAACAGTTACGTATACTAACTCTGGAATAAGGCTACCTTATTCAAATATTGGCTTCACCATTTAGTAGCTTTGTGACTTTGGACAAGTGATTTAATTGCTCGAGGGCTTAATTTCCCTACCTTCAAAACAGACACAATAATAGCACCATCACATAAAGTCTCTATACAGATTCGATGTGAAGGAACATTTCAGAATGCAGTATTAGAAGTAGTTTAATCATTTTAAAATGTTACTATTAATAATCTGTTAATTACCAAGTGATATGCATGCAAAATAAAATTTTGGAACAATATTTTTCTTACTACGAGCAGGTCTGTAGGCTAGGCATATTAAAATATTTAAAATAAGTCATTGTATATTAGGCTAAAATGATGGAATGAAAACACTCCAGATTGAGAGTTTCAAAGTAATTGAACTGTAAAGCAAAATAGATATAAAAACACAATTGTATTCTAAAATGTTTTACTCTTAGGTTTATCATATAATATTTTATTACCTCAAACTGCTAAAAAAAAAATGTAGGTTTTATATTTAAAATGATAGTTTGTGTCTAGTTTGAAATGTGGAGCTGAATTATTTTGCAAAATTCAATTAAGAATGAGTTATATTTTAGGTTCCCTGGAAAATTGTCTGTGGTTAAATGGCTGATATCTTTCCTTCTTATTTAATTGAAAAAAAAAATTGGCATTGAAGAATTAAACACACTCTAAAATTTCAATAAATATTCCATGACTACTTTATTTATCTAGATATCAACTTTCTAACAATATCAGCCATCCAAGTTAAACAAAAAGTAAACCATCCAGAAGTGAAAAATACAGTTAAATGTTGTAAATGGCTATTATACAGTCCCTGCTATAAAATGCTATTAGAAAATGCAGCTTCCCTCACTCAGAGCCTACTGATTCTTAAGTATCACATAATCTTTCCCTTGTTCCTTCTTCTAAAGAGAATAGGAACTATAAACAGGAACAGTTTGGGAGAAAGCAAAGCCTGGCATCAAAAAAGATACAGAACAAAATGTAGACACACAGCTTTGTTATCACAGGACATGATGACTAAGGCATTCCTTTCCTCATTCAGTTATTCACTCCTTCATCCAAGATTCTCTAATCACCTGTTATAGTACCAGTTTCTCTTCCAGGTAGAGGCTTGAGAGAAGCAGGTAGAAGAGATTCAGAGAAAAATAGGATATAAACATTTCTCTGTCAGGTTGCTCAAAATAAGTTGACATATTTGTGTTCATAATAATTCCTGTCATCCAGAAAAGTGATGTTACAGTTTTATGTACTTTTTAGAGCCACAGATGGTTTACTTTAACTTTATTATACACCCATACTCACACCCTGGACTGCTTTGCAAGCTTCTAATTGCTTCATCTCCTCACCTTTTTTCTAGATTTCCTTTCTTCTTCCCTGTATCTCCTTAATACTCTTTAATAATGTCATTTACGTAACATAATCACAGTGCCCACTTACCAGAGCCCCACAGAGATCTCTCATCCAATTCAGCCTATTTTAGCAGGTGTATAGGTTAGCTTTTGTTGTGTAACAAACCACCCTCAAATTTTGTATACATTTTTAAAATCATGTTTTATTTTTCACAATTCTCTGTATTTGTTGGGTGGTTTCTCTGGCCATGGCTGGCTTGGCTCAGGCTGGATAATATAGCATGGCCTCACTCACATATCTGGGGCCTCAGCCTGCATGACTGGATTGACTGAGTCTTCTCTCTATATGGCCTCTCATCTTCTAATAGGTTGTCTTAACCTTTTAAATGATAATCTCAGGGTTCCAAAGAGAACAAGAAGGAAAACCTCAATGTACAAGGGCTTTTCATGCCTCTGATTTGTTTCAAAGCAAGTCACATGTCTAAAATCCATATTCAAGATCCATGTGGAATGGTAGTTTTTATATCTTGATGGGAGAAGCTGTGTAGTCATATTACAAAGGAGAAAGATCAAGGGAGGGGAAGATGTTGTGGTCATGCTTGGTCTACCATGCCTGGAGAAGCAACAGTAAATGTATCACCCCAGAAAGGACACACTTCATCTTCAGGCAGAAACTGTCAGCCTCAACTAGTCATATACCTGCTCCTTCTCCCCCACCCCCAACTTAGGATGCATGCAAAGGAGGATGGTAAGTAAATAAAGCCCCCTGTGCAATTATATGTTACATTTGTCTCACATGACAAAGTTCTGTCTCACTTATTTTCCCTTAATAAAATCCATTGAGGCCTTTCAGAGTTAGCCATATTCAAAGACACCCTGAATTTCCATGTTCAATTCTATGTGACTGAAGGCTGATCTTCTAATAGGTGGGGATTTGGGGGATGGTTGTATGAAGTACTTTAAAGTTTCAGAAGCAATATGATGTCTTGCTGCTGATCATATATAGTCTCAAACATTACATGTTGCATTTCACATAAGAAGTCTTATCCTTTATGGCCTAGCTCAAAAGCTTTCTCCAGGAGGCCTTTCTACCCTTTTCTGTCCTGGCCAGGGGTCATCTCTGCTGATTCTAAATTCCTGTAAAATATTATTTTGCTTATGTTGAATAGTCTACCTACTCTGCTAGATTTGAGTTTGTTGGGATGGAGTCTGTGTCTTATCTGCTACTGAATTCTGTGTAGTATCTAGTCTTGCAGGGACACAGTGAAATAATAAATCATCCCTTGATAAAGAAGAAGGAGGAGGCTATATTTAACCCTAATGTCCTAGTTTGTTCCCCTTCTATATTTTTTCATAATCCATTTAATTGTTTTCTATCCCTGGGTCACCAACACTTAAGGCCACAGTCATATATGGATTCCTCTGTTAATTCCTTCATTGAGAAATGTCAGAAGAGGGATACATTCATTCATTCAAGTCTGTATTGAGCACCCACTATGTGTCCCACATATTTATGTGACAGAGACATAGCAGAAAATAAAATATATATAGTCACTACTCTGGTAGAGGAAAACACAAACAAGATATATAAAATACCAGAGATCAAATTGTTGATGTGTGTTAAGTAGAAAAATCTAGGAGGTAACAAGAAAGAGAGATCCTGGTGGTGGTGAGATGCCCTTTTGTTCTGAGTGGCCAGGAAAAGCATCTTCCATATGGTGACATTTATACTATGATCTGCAGACAGTGAGCCATGCAGATATTTAGGGAAGAACGGTCTTAACTGAGGTAATGGTATCTGCAAAGGCCCTGAGGCAGAATTACAAGTGGCCTCTATGAGGCGCAGGAGAAAGTCCATGTGGTTAGAGTCAAGTGAGCATGAGAAAGGAATAGGAGATGAATGGAGAGAGATACAAGGCTAGATTATGTATTGTACAGATTGGATTATATCCCGAGGGAGGGGAGGAGCCATATAAAGAAAGGATAAAGAACCAAAGGTATGGGGAATTATATGGGTTTGAAGAAAGAGGTGAGGGAGGGGAAATGTACGTATCTGTCTGTGATCTTTTTTCACCATCTCCTCCGACATAAAATAGATTTCTCACCTTGTTTCCCCCTGTGAAAAATCTACTTCCAAGATTGACTCTGTGTTTGCAAATCATCACTATGTATGGCATGTATAGAAATACTTTCTTCCACAGGATATAGATGATTAGAGCAAAGATAAATAGACTATATAGCTTTTGCTGGTAATTTTTGCCAGTTTACCAGATATAATCCTTTTAAAAGCATGTCCCTTATTTATGTAGTGCTTTCATTATAATTTAGATTCTCAAAAATATTAGTTTTTAAACAAGGCCTAGAGCTCTGCCTAAGTTGCTTCGATAAAGCCCAACTCGTTATATGTTATAAATGAAAAACAGTTATTTAAATTACAATGGCCTTGATGTCACAGAACTATAAATGGGAGGATGCCGAGGGGAGGGGAGAACTTCCACTTTCAGCATGATAAAACATCCTGCATGAAGATATGTTATTTTTACAAACTTATTTTCTGCAAAGGAAACCATCAAGAACAAGGAATTTTCTGTGTAAGTGTGCTAGGAATATATTTTTTTAATTTGTTACAAAAGTAACATAATAAATGTAAACAATTTAGATATTTTTGTGTTTAAAAAATATAATTATAGTCAGTGTATAATGGCATTATTTTAACCACGGCAAACCAGCCTTGTTATGAACACATTTGTTTATTTTCAAGATAATTTGATTATAGCCAACTTACTGGTTTCACGTAACTAATATTTGGCTGTGGTGTGCATTGTTTAGTCAAAGAAAAAATTTAATTATTTTTACTTTCTGTGGCCTTTAGTAAATAAAGCCTGATTTACTAAATAAAGCCTGAATTACTAAGTTCTTTTTGGCGTAGTATAGTTCTCATACTAGAATTCATAGGAAATCTAGAAACCCTCTTAGGGGGCCTCTTTAATAATAAGTTGATATGCTTGGGCACATGCTTATTTATTACTGCATTGTAGAGCTGCTTTCTGAGGTTTCTCTTTCACAGGAAAGTAGTTAAATAAATAAACATTACAGAGGATATTTGCTACTCCTTGTGACCCAGTAAATAGTTCTCCTGGTGACAACTTTGAAAATATATGATCAACAATTTCATGCTTTGGGGCCATAAACAAAATAAGCAAAAAAGATGTTTTAGATCCTAGAAGAGTTTGTTGGAACATTCCACTGACAGGTAAACTAAAGACCAGAGTAAATATGGCTCCAGGTAGCAAGTGAACAGCCAGACCAGGGGCAAGGCCAGTGTTTGCTTGTAGGGGTTAGAATGCTATACAGCAGTGAAAATAGTGTCCATGTCTATTGCAAAATAGAACAATGCCATAAACGTGTAGGCATCATCTCTTCTACCTTGGGAGCCTCTTGCAAAGTGGCATTATAGGCATGTCTCTTTCAGATGGGGAAATTCCTTGAAATAGTTTGTGGGATTCTTTTTTGGCTTCACAGTAATTGGTTGAAGCAGTTCTTTAAATTGGTCCTTTTCACATGGAGTGCACTTTGCCATTAAAAGGAATCCATGTGTCTCATGAAAATGTGTGATATCTTCTGTAAGTATGTGTGTTGATGGGTATTTGAAATTAGCCTGGAATTTAGGAGTTTTAGGGTTTTTTCCATCTACTTTTAAATTCTTGGACATAGATGGCTACAATTGGGTAATTTATCAATAATCAAAAAGGCTAAAATATAATTAACACATTTGGGATATAACTCCCCTCAAAAACCTTCATACTTTCTTTGTAAAAGTTTTGCTGAAGAAGTATGTATTTATCATATGAGGAGATTGTTATGGGTATAAGTGGAAGAGATAGAATTAAGTTTGGAAGGTAATAATTAGGGAAGGCTCTGGTTTTATTTCAATGTTTACATCTATTTCTCAGGCCTAAAGCCTTTTGTCCCATTGTCAAAGAATAGCTCAGGTTCAGTATTTTATTCCACGAGACCAAGAGAGAAGATGCTAGTTGTGGAGTTAACTGCTTAAGCTTAAGAAAGTGACATAGCACTCTGCAGAGAACTAAGAATGTATCTTGAGGTACTACATCTGGGTTCAAACATAACCACAAAATACAGTGGGATTCACAGTCTTTTAAGACCATGCCAGTGAAGTCATTCTGAGTCATGACTTCATGGATAGAGGATTCTAATCAACTGCTGAAGTCCACGGAGAACTAAATGAAGGAAAGAGGCCTGAGATCTAGTAGGAGGGAATTTTGAAGAGCCATCAGTATCTTTATATAGACTTTCCATCCCCTGGGATCTGTATGGTCAAATCACCAGAAAGACTTCCATGGTCACCTTCCTGGAGACCTGGCTATAAGCCAAGCAACTTCTTCAATCTCTTGCCAGGTCTCTAGTCTGTGAGTCAAAGAATACCATACTTATGCGAGATGCTTTGAGATAGTGGGTGCTCTGTGAATTTCAGGTAATGTTTTGTTTTTTTCTCACCAGGAGCATCATGCTTTCAGCATGTTTGTTAATGGTGAAGATTTTATTTTTAAAAAATCATGACAGTAAATTCACACATTGCCAAATAACAATTGTCTGCTATCTGATTCTATCAGATAAACTTTATACCTTTTCTGGAATATATGAGTTAGAAAACTTAAGATATCAGATTCAGCTGACTCAAGTACCTGATATACCAGGCAGTATTAGGAAACAGAAGGGATTGTGATGATGACTGAAGTTATTACTGGCACTTGAACTGAATTTGTCTTAAAATATCAGTTTACTTTGATATATGCTACAAAGACCTTAACCATGTTACTGTCTGATGCTTTTGTGAAATGAAAGTGCCAATACAGAATGAACTGTTTTGATAAGCTCCCTCACAATTTTAGATTATAAAGTTAATCTCTAAGAACTAATAAGCAATGATTCCATTTTTCTGATTTTATTTTTATGAGCCACAGTTTTATATCCCACTGCTTATCTGATTTGAAAATGGTTGTAATATTTGGAGAAAGTTAATATTGAGTCATGCCAAAACCTTAATAAACTTAGTCTTGAACTAATATTTCAGGCTCATGAGGGATTTCTGTATGCTAAGATAGATTTTAATATTACAGAAATGCAATAGTGACCTTTCCATAAAACCTTAATAAAATTACTTTGTGATATAAACTGCAGAAGAGATGGGAACTTTCTTGAAAGAGAGTATCCATGATTTATCTGCATTTCATGGTTTAATCTTATATCTCATTTCTTCAGATCTCGTTTTTTTCTTTCCCTTAAGGCATACAACAGTAATTTCCATATTTTTAAACTAGACAACAGATAGAATTTTCAAAGGCATGTTTTCCCTTTGCACCAGTGAGACTGGGTTTTGGACTGGCAGTTCAAGGCTGTGGTTCTATTGCAGCTCCACCGGCAGGATTGTGGCATCTTGCCCAGCTTACCTAAGGTTTCTTGGCATCTGTTCCCATTCTATTACAGGAAGAGCTCATATTAAGTCTGAAATCCCTAGGATTGTCTTTGATCAACTATTGCTTAAATGTTATAACTTTCATATTCTTCAACATCCCTCTATTTTGTTGATATGGTTCTTAATATGGTGGCACAGAAATGTGTAAAATACTCTAAGCTGTGTTAGGATCTAAAAGTTCATTAATATTGTTATATCCCTTGATCCGTGACCTTCCTAACACTGCATTAAGGTTTCAACAAGTACCTCATCACCATTGGCTCATTAAGGTTGGAGTTCACCAAAAGCTCAGATGTCTTTCACATAAAAAAGCCATTTTACTTTGTCCTGTAGTTGATTTTTTTTTTTTTTTAACTTCTCCGATCTTTGCATTGCTCACTTCTCCAACAATCTTGGTAATTTGGCTTATTCTTCAAAGCAGTCCTTTTGTAGCAGTGAGCACAGCTCAGGACATATTTGGACATCTGGAATACTGGAGGGAGCACTGATGGAGTTGTCTTAGGAGGCTGCTGAAAACGAGGGAGGGGAGTTTTGGAAGGGAGAGGAGAGGAGTGATATCACAGGATTGCCCTGGGAGGGAGAATACTGAGAGCCAAAAAGGATAAAGGACAGAGGAGGTGGAGGGACTGCCACATGTGGAAAGAGGATCACGCTGAACGTAGGAGTTTTGTTCTAGAAAGGTTAAGAAAGATCAGGACCCACATAAGGACACTGAACTTGAAGACCAAAAACTTCAGCTACTCAAAAAGGCATATTTTGAACAGAATATATATGTTAGATCCCTTATTTTAAGACATTTATAGTGAGTTAACAGTAAGTGAGGGTATTAAGCAAAGTCTATTTTCTTTTTTTCACAAAAATTGGCCATGGGAAGTGTAACATAGATGGCCATAATGTACCTTAATTATAAGCCTTCTTCTCTTTACTACTTCAGGACACAATAATTAATTGAGTGACAGTAGATATTTGGTCCACAAAACTCAATTTAACTTATTATTTGTGTAATTGTCATAATTGAATCTTATCTCTTTTCCTGTTTTACCTTGGGGATTGGTTTCAAATAGGGCAGAATAAAAATAAAAATATATATACAATGGCTTAATCACAATTGTGATTTCACCAGTACTAAATATAGACAACAACAATGATTTTATTAAAATACTCCCTACAGATGTTCCCAAGATAGCCTCGTAGACCAATTAATGTTATGACCTAAGTGGCTAGATTGTGATGTTTTTATAAAACTAAGTTTTCTCTATCACATTTGGAACACTCTACAAACAAAGCCAGGAATTAAAGACATAGTAATCTTTTTACAATGAATGATTTTACGAGGGAATTAAAGAATGAAAGAAACTTGAATTTATTAGCTTTTTTAATAATATAAAATATCCACTGATGTTGATGGTGAGATTACTAGGATCTCTGTCCTCAGGTCATTTTAAAGTGGTAAATTGGATAGTGGTAGTAATGTGGCCATCTCCTTTATTGAAGCAATCCTTATTTTTGATTTAACTACCTCTTATTAAAGCAGTTTAAATACTGTCCCAAGAAAGGATGCGTTTCCTTCATTTTGGTCTTAGGCCATATCTTTAGAGTGTTTTTTACTTGAATTTAAGGAACTTTCTTCATGAGAACCAAGTACGGACAATGAGGGTGTACAGTCAAAAGATTTGTTAAGTTCTATTAATCATTCTACTATATTGGGGGGATTCTAAGCTTTCTGAGCTTTATTTTCCACATTTGTCTGGTTAAGATTTCTAACTTTAAGAGAGTATGTAAAAATACTTGGTAATTGGTGAAACAGTAAGTGGATGCTGGGTGCCTTTATTGTGAGAGCTTCTAGAAGTGTGTCGGGTCAGTGGTAAATGGCCACTAGCATAAGCTTTTAGAGCAGAGTGATGAGTTTCATTTCTCATTACTGCAGAAAGTCCAGCATCTCTTGCTTAATGAGAATGTCATCCTCCTGGTCTCCAGGTCAGGCTGTTGAGTTCTTTCTGATGTGTCTTTGAAACTTGCTGCAGTCTTGTAGCATTTTAGAATATGCTGGATCAAATATTATCCCTTCAGAAAAGGACTGATTGCAGACACTAGGATCAAAGCAATTTTTGTAACTGTTTATTAGTACTGACACTTGGGAAAACCAAGGATTTATCTAACAGGGGGCAGGGAACTTAGTTAAAGAAGCACCATTTTCTCTCTCTTTTTCCCCAGCCTGCAGATATGGTTTGAATTAGAAGTTAAAGAAATTTACTAAAATAAAACACCATGTGAACTCTTGGCAGTCGCTTCACATCCAACTCTCTGACCTTTGATATCCCTCCTATTGCCTCTGAGCCTTGTTAGAGTGAGGGATGTTTTTCAGTGTCTATATAAGCAATGGAAGCAAACATGTTTTAAAATAATCCAATAAAAGCACACATCTTATGAAAGGGACAGTTATTTGAAGACTGTTGACCTTACAAGAATTGGGCAAGGATTTGGCATCTTGAAAGTGTGCTTTGATACTGAAGATTTGTTCTAGAAATGCCACTACGTCATTACTCTTTTAGTTACCCTTCAATACACAATAGTAATGCATTGTTTTAAATCTTACTTGGCCCATCTGAATGTGCCTTTCATTTTTTCATTTTTGGAAATATATTTCAGGAAGGATATATATGGATCTTAAATAGCGTTTATATTTCATAGGAGCTCAAATTATGTTTAGTCAAACTAATATAAGCTAAGAAGGCATCAGAGAAATGACTGTTTCAACCTCTGTATTTCACAGACAGGGATATTAAGACTCAAAGGGTAAGGGGCTTCCTCAAAGTCACACTTAGTTGGGACAGAGCTGGGGCTGGAATGCAGGTTATCCATCTCTGATTGCCCTTCTGTTTCCATTCCAGCAGGCCATACCGCTCATATTAATTTAATATTAATTGCAGAAACAGTGTAATATATAATAAAAGGCAGACTCATTTTTAAAGATGGTCAAATTACTTATAAAACCATAAAATTTGTATCTTTCTAATTAGCTTTTCCAATGTCACATTAGAAGATTTATTTCAAGTTGTGTGAATGTTATTGCTGCTATTCTGATGTGAATGAAACAGACTCAATTCCAGTCTCCCTTCTGGTCTATTGGACAAAGCCAAAGACAGCGTCTAATATACACCTAGTTTTTATGTGCAGTCTCACTGCATAAGCCAATTTACAGAGTAAATTTCCCATTATTTGAAGTAATAGTTAATTAGTAATGCCAAACCTGGGGAGGAGGGGCCTGAAAAGGTAACACTTTTAATATAAGTTAACTGAGATTAACGATTTTGATTCCTTTTTTGGGCATAAAAACACAAAGAGGAAGAAAGGTTTAGAGATTTTGAAAATAATGTGCATGTCTAAAAATATTAAATCAACCTCCCCAAACCTCAAATTTCATGTAATTCTTTCTCACTATTTCTATCTTCTTAGTTCCACCTCTGTAGTTACTTTAAGCTTTTGAACTCCAGGTGGAACGATTTTGAATACATAAGGAGATAAATAACCTTGTGTGAGATTTGAGATTTATGTAGGTGACATCACTTTGACTAAAGGTTACTTTCAGGTCATGGGGCAGTACCCCTGTGTGCATGAACACGTGAAGACTATTGATTTCAGATATCCTTCAGCTTGAAAACCTGAGGAGGAATGTTTTATTTTCTCCTTCTGTTGTCTGGGATCAGCTCTAATATACATGGTCTTAGGCTTTATCCTCTTCTTATGACTCCTGTATAATAATAGCAAAGACTTATTTATAAAATAGCTTGGAGAATTTTTAAATACAAAGAATTTTGCTTAAATTGAAGAGCTCATTTTGTGTGTGTATATTTGTTTCTTTTAATCAGAAAATAGTTTCAATATAAAGGATGCCTTGAATCCTTAAATTTATGCCTGCTCCTTTCCAAAGCACTTTGCCCATTTTTGTGAAGTCCCATTTTAAATCCTCAGGCTTAATCCACACTCATGCCTGAGGCAACCTTCAGAGAGCTCACTCAAGCGAAGATGAAATAAAAATCTTTCTTTTGAAATAGTTCAATAATTAAAGCAAAATCAGGCTTCTAGAAAGAGCTTTCTCTCTTGACACAGATGATTCATATTGGTGATGTTTTGCCTAATAATTGTGGCAGTCAGTCCAAGGACAAATGAAGGGCAAAGTAAAGAGGGCAGGGCATAAGAGACGGGGGGACTTTGAGCTGCCCAGAAGGTCTCCTTTAAAGAGACAGTCTATAGGGATAAGAACACGATGCACCCCATAAAAACATGTCCAGGTCCAGGCCCCACCAGTGAGGACCCAGATGCCAATCAGAATAGCCCTTACTAAGGGACAGTGGTCAGAGGGTCTAAGGAGGTCAAAGGTTCAGGCCACAGAGGAGGTGTGATTGGGATGTTTATTCTAGAAATTATTGATAGCCACCATCAAGCCTGTAAAACTTGGTAAAGAATGGAAACTCAATTCTACAGGTCTGGTTTGAGCCTGCAGCAGGCAGGCAACAGGGTATGAGTTGAGAACAAAATACTGTGAAAAGAATTTCAAGATACTGGAGAGAGGAGCAAGTATAGACAGAAATGATACTAAAGTATGCATTTGGGCCAGGTGCAGTAACTCACACCTGTAATCTCAGCACTTTGGGAGGCCGAGATGGGTGGATCACTTGAGGTCAGGACTTTGAAACAAGCTGGGCCAACATGGTGAAACCCTGTGTCTACTAAAAAGATGAAAATTAGCCTGGTGTGGTGGCAAGCACCTGTAATCCCAGCTACTTAGGAGGCTGAGGCAGGAGAATCACAAATCTGGGAAGCAGAGGTTGCAGTGAGTTGAGATCGTGCCACTGCACTCTAGCCTGGGTGACATAGAGTCTGAGAGAGAAAGAAGGAAAGAAGGAAAGAAAGGAAGGAAGGAAGGTAGGAGGGAAGGGAAAGGAAAGGAAAGGGAAGGAAGGAGAAGAAGGAAGAAAGAAAGGAAGGAAGGAGAGAGGAGAAGAGAAAGAGAGGAAGGGAGGGAAGGAGGGAGGAAGAGAGGAAGGGAATAGGAGAGAGAGAGAAAGAAGGAAAGAAAGAAGAAAGAAAGAAAGAAAGAAAGGGAGGGAGGAAAGGAAGGGGAGGAAAGGAAGGGAAGGAAAGGAAGGGAAGGAAGAAAAGAATAAATGTGCATTTGTGTAAGAGAAGAGTCCATTGTCCTTTCTGCCTTGATTTGTTTTGGGAGTTGGTTGGGAGCTCCTCCACAGAGTAAGATATTCGTTCATTCATTCTTTTATTCATTCATTGTTTACTACTATATGCTGGACACTATAGAAGCAAACAAGGCCCCAGTCTTCACAGAGGTCATCATATAGTGATGATACAGATAAACAAATGGCTGTTTACCATGTAGGGTGGTGAGTTCTTCAAAGAAGGGAAGTACAAGGTGCTTAAGTGAAAATACAGAGTGATTCCTGACCCAGTTTCTCTAAATAATAACCAGTAAGTTTAGGGGAGTAAATAACCAATAAATTAGTGAATGAGAAGCAAAGAGAAATGTGCAAAATGCTCAGTACTGAGGGGCAGGGAATCAAGTCTCATAAATCCAGAGAGGAGAATTTAAAGGGAAAGGTGGTTAGGGAAGATGCTGCTTTCCAATGCAGCTGGGGGCATGTT